CGCTCGCACACTCTCTCTCTTTCGCTGTCTCTTACAGGCAGATTTATGGTCAGCCCAGGGCCTTTCATTGGCCAAAGGCTGACAGGACTTGATTTAACGCCGCTTCTCATTGGCTGAGCTTGACAGGCCGATTTACGAGTCGCTCTGCCATTGGCCAAACTGCTTTGGCCCTGATTTATGGCTCAGTGGCTGCGGGGAAGGGGGAGCAGCTGGGGAGTGAGTCTGCCCCTCCCCTCGTCAGCGCTGCTGTCTCCCTCTCCTCTGCTTTTTCTCCTCTTTCTCTCCCTCCCCTCAAAGAACCGCAGTCCCTCTACCTGTTCTTCAAGCCCCCTCCTCCCTTCTCTTTCATCCAGCGGGAGGGGAAAATGGGGTGTGGTGGTGGTGGTGGGGAGAAAACAAAATATGGTTTCAGGGGGTAAACCCGGGCGGAGGAATCTGAAATATAGGGGTAGAGTCTGGAGAGAAGAGAAGATTGACCCAGGGAGAGAAGATACTGAACTGAACAGCAAAGGGGAAACTGAGGCGATGAAAGGGGTGACAGGAAAAAAAAAAAAAGGAAAGCTGAGGAGAAAAGACTAAGAGAAAAGAGGGGATCTGAGGAGAAGAAAGGAGAGCCTGAAAAGAAAGGGCACATTTGAGGAGGCAAATGGGCTGAAGCGGGGAGATTCGGGAACGGAGAGAGATTTTTCAAACATCACTATTCAGAGGAAGATGGGAAATTTCCTCTTCAGACAATGGCTCTGAAAAGGGAGAGACTTAACCCTTTTCCTGCTTAGAAAAAAAAAGTGCAGCTCGCTGCGAGCATTAATTTAACATCACACGTAGGAGTGTTACATTTTCTAGGATTTGACGTTTTCAGCGATCGAGAATTACTATATTTTGTAAATGGAAATAGCCCTACTAAAAACAATGCTATAAATAGAATGATGTCATTTGTTTCCAAAGACTATCAATATACTAGAGCCATGCGAAAATAATAAAAGCAAAATTTAGGGGTAAGGTGAGGACTGTAATCTACGGGTTATTTCAGGGTAAATGGCTGCAGCGGCTTGCACCACCAGTGAGTATTCTTGGGGCAAACGGGAGATAAAGGAGCAAAGAAATAGAGAAAGGCACAATAGAGAGGGGAAAGAGAGGAGCAGGAAAGGAGAACTGGAAGGTAATAGTGAAGAAAGAGGGAGAGAGGACAGAGAACTAATAGAGAAGATAGAACTAAGGTTGGTTTTTATTTGTCGGGGGCGGGAGGGGGGGCTGGGTAGTGAGAAAAGACTAACCCCCCAGAGGAACTATTGAGATAAACAACTCCTACTCCTCCTCTCAATGAAGATAGGTGTCTGCAAGAGGAAAAGTCAGGCACCTCCCACAGGAGATGTTCTACTTC